CTTAAGTTTTGTGCATGGTGACAGATATGGATCTATCTGCAATCTTCTGGAAGTCCTAATCCATTTGTGCCAGCACCATTTGTTGAAGAGGCTATCTTTTTTCCAATGTATAGATTTAGCATCTTTGTCAAATATCCAGTGTTCATAGGTGTGTGGGTTAATATCAGGGTTTTCAATTTGATTCCATTGGTCTATCTATCTATTTTTGTGCCAATACCAAGCTGTTTTCAGAACTATGGCTCTATAATAGAGCTTGAAGTCAGGGATGGTGATGCCTCCAGAAGATTCTTTATTGTACAGCGTTCTTTTGGCTATCCTGGGTTTTTTGTTTTCTCAAATAAAGTTGAGTATTGTTCTTTCAAGGTCGGTGAAGAATTGTGTTGGGATTTTGATGGGGCTTGCGCTGACTCTGTAGATTACTTTTGGCAAGATTGCCATTTTTATTATGTTGATTCTACCTATCCAAGAGCATGGGAGATCTTTCCATTTTCTGGTATCTTCTTTAATTTCTTTCTTTAAAGACTCAAAAGTTCTTACTGTACAGGTCTTTCACTTTTTTGGTTAGCGTTACCCCAAGATATTTTATGTTGCTTGTGGATATTGTGAAGGGTGATGTTTCTTTGATTTCTTTGTCATTGCATTTATCATCTGTATATAGTAGGGCTACTGATTTTTTTGAGTTAATCTTGTATCCTGCTACTTTGCTGAAGGTGTTTATCAGCTGTAGGAGTTCCCTGGTAGAGTTTCTACGTAGAATATCATATCATCTGCAAATAGTGAGAGTTTGACTTCTTTTCCAATTTGTATTCCTTTGATCTCCTTTCATTGTCTTATTGCTCTAGCTAGAACTTCAAGTACAATATTGAAGAGGTATAGAGAGAGTGGACAGCCTTCTCTTGTTCCTGATTTTAGGGGAAACTGTTGAGTTTGTCTCCATTTATTTGATGTTGGCTGTTGGTTTGGTGTATATTGCTTTTATTACATTGAGGTATGTTCCTGTTATCCCTGATTTCTCCAAGATCTTTATCATGAAGGGATGTTGGATTTTTTGTTGGATTTTGTCAAAGGCTTTTTCAGCATAGAGTGAGATGATCATGTGGTTTCTTTTTCAGTTTGTTTATATGGTGGATTACACTGATGGATTTTTGTAAGTTGAACCAGCCTTGCATACCTGGGATGAACTTACTTGATCATAGTGGATGATTTTTCTGATGTGTTCTTGGATTTGATTTGCCAATATTTTGTTGAGTATTTTTGCATCGATGTTCATGAGGGATATTGGTCTGTAGTTCTCCTTTTTAGTTATATCTTTGTGTGGCTTGGGTATCAAAGTGATTTTAGCCTCCGAAAAAGAGTTTGGCAATATCCTTTCTGCTTCTATTGTGTGGAACAACTTGGA